GAATTTATTCAGTGAAATGCAACCAACATTTCAGAGATTTATCAGTACCTCCTTGTTTAAAGCAGCTCAATTCACACTAAGAAACGGAATCAATCCAGACATCTCTAAATGGGTGACTATGAAGTACTCTTCAGCCATAAAAAAATGAAATCTTGTCTTTTGCAACTAAATGTATACAATTAGAAACCATTGATTAGTAAAATAGACCAATCTCCAAAAGACAAATATCATATATTTTCTCAGATATGAAAATACAGAGAACAAAAAGATGGTGTGTTTTGTTGTTGTCATTGTTTTGTTGTTGTTGTTGTTGTTTGGGTTTTTTTTGTTTGTTTGTTTGTTTGTTTGTTTGAAAGGAAAATTTTATAGAGAGGATTTGCTCCCTAAATACTTGCAATGACCAGAATTGACACGGGGTGAAACCAAGAACCGGGATCTTCTAGATTTCCGATAGGGGTTCTGCAATCCTAGTACTCGAATCACTTTCCTCTGCTTTCCCTGCTTATGCCAGAGCTGGATCAAAATAGAGCAGTGAAGACACAAACCAACGCCCATGTTGGCCTGCTACACCACACACTAACTCCCCAAAGATTTAATCTTTATGAGAAAAATTAACACCCTATGATTTAATTATGCTTTTACAGCCTTTGTCTATACTCCTGAGGAATATTAGATATTTTTTTACTAGTTGTCATGTGCTGAGATTTTTACCTATTGGAGGGTTAAGCTTATGTTCGTATAACGAAATGGAAATATGCCATTGTAAAATTAAGGGGAAAAAAATCAGGGGAGACTGTGGGGTACAAGGGACATGTCATAATGTCTCTAAATCTCTGTCATGGAACATATGAAATTCATTCCCTTTATATAAAGAGGTTTGTAGAAATAAACAAAACATATTAAAGATTGGCAGTTAGCCTAACAGTTAAGATATGCACACCTTATATCAGGGTGCCTACATCAGAATCCTTGTTTCAGTTCTTATTCCATGGCTCTGCTCATGTCAGTGCTGGTAGACAGTACTGATTGTCTATGTGGCTGGGTTCTTTGCCATGCCACCCACATAGGAAGCCTGGATTTGGTTCTCAGGTGCCAGCTTTTGTTCTACTCCAGCCCAGTCTTACTTGTTAAAGGCATTTGGGGAGTGAACGGACAACTAAAACCTTTCAGTGTTTGTATATCCTTTTGTAGCTCTGTCTCTCTGTCACCCTAATAAATACACAAAGCATTTTTAACATGTACTATTTATTTCAATTACAACTTAAAATACATCAGAATTTTATATATAAAAAAGTATTCACAACAAGGGAAGTAAATGGAAAATAATTATTTTGGTTAAGCAAGGTCCATTTCCTGAGGTTAAAAGAATAACTATCAAGTTAAAACTTAAACATTACTGCAGCACAATTTTGTACTTGCTTGAATTTAACTTTTGTTTTTTTAAGTACTATGTAGATTAGCAACTTCTGCTGGTGGAGTCATTATCAGGCCAGAGTGAATAGAGGGAATCAGGATGCCCTTGAATTTGAAGCTGCCAAAAATGCTAAGGATTGCAAAATGCAATACAGCACTGGGGTTATAATAAACAGAAACGTATAACAAACAAGAAATGTTTTCAAATAGAAAAAATTTGAGACTTTGAAATGACTTTGGAGAAGCAAATTCTTCTCTTAGAAGACTGTAAATGTGGACTGTAAAATTATTCTTAATTGAACAGAATGAAAGTATTCTTTTTGTTATAAATTCAACTTTAAATTAACAACGAATTCACTTTTTTCCTTTCTCCCATGTTCTTTGTCATCAGTATGGAACATATAGTTTCCAAAGCTAATTTCGGCACAGGTGTGTTTCCTCATTATTTTAAAGCTATTATCTGATTATTTGTCTGTATTCTAGTAACAATAAAACAGATGCAATCAGTAAACTCAGAAATGAGTCAGCAGAATGTAAGAGGCAGTAAATGGATAAATTATATTTAACAGCTGTAACACTGAAGAAATTGAGCTATCTAAAACTGTCATATTTTTGTGAAAGAGAATTAAGACAGAACTGTGGTCACAGTATAATTTCTTGACAGGCTTTAGTGATAACTGCAATATCCTATTCTGTCGTTTTGTGAAGATATTTTTCTCTTCAGGGAAGTTCTGTCAGTATTCAGTGTTTGAGACTTTAAGAGATGAATGGAAAGCCATGCCATGTGTTCTGAGTGCATGTGTGCACACACTTTTTCCCCTCTAAATAAAGTGAATACAGTTTCCTAGAATAAACATTGAGAATAACTCAAAGTAAGTTGTTAAACTAGTATGTAGCAACTCTTTTGAGAAATGTAAATGAAAAACGCTTTCATGTCCTGATGGCTAAAATGTCACATAGACCAAACTTACTAAAGAATCCAAAGAATTCGCTCTGAGTTTGCTTCCTCATTTCAATGTAGCCTTTTTATCCACAATCAGTCTTTTATAATCTGTGAGGATCAGTGGTTCCTAATTAAATTTAGTTGCATTTCCTCCAATTTCTTGTGCTTTTATCAAAGCTAATCACCAAATGTACACATAAAAATAATGGTGCACATATTTCAGATTATTACAAATTGAATAAGAAAATGACATTTAAATATTCATTGGTTTTTGCATAACAAATTCTTTTCCTTTAATAATTGTCCAACCATCTGAGTAATTCCATTTTTTACCACTTCGACATGATGACCAAATATGTCTGAATTGTGGTCACATTCATATTAATGAAATACAAATTTTTGGAAGTAATTATAGCACCTTTTCAGCAGTTTTCGAACTTTAGGAAGTGTACTTGTGACCTTAAGAGCTTGACAAAATGCAGATTCTGACTCAGGAATGTGAATGTAATTTCTAGATTTTACATATATAATAAGCTTTAATGTTAAATTAATGCAGCCCAATGAAAATACATACTTTGAAAAGCCAGGCTTTTAAGAATCTAGCTCTGGATTTTGCCCACATATTTTGCTTTCAAGATTTTTTAATTTTTGTTTGAAGGGAAATTTATGGAAAGAAGGAGAGACAAAGATAGATCTTCTAGACATTGGTTCACTGCCCTAATGGCCACAAAGGCCACAGCCAAGCCAATCTATAGCTACAAACCAGGAGTCTTCTCCAATTATTCCATATGGATGCAGGAGCCTAAGAACTTCAGTCATTGTCTGCTGCTTTCCCAGGCTATAAACAGAAAGCTAGATTGGAAGAGGAGCAGTAGGGCCACTAACTAGTGCCTATATGGAATGCTGGTGCCACAAACAGAGGCTTAGCCTACCACACCACAAGATCAGCCCCTCCTCCTCCTTTTTATATCTCTTCTGGGTTCTAGAATTCAATCCTGTGCTTGCTGGTACTCAATATTATGTTACTGTCTTCATACACATATCCGTACATACTTGCTCATGGCAAGTAAATTGTTTCCTATTTCTTCATAACCAAATCCTTCTTGAACCTCAGAAAAACATATACACAATAGAAACAAATAAATGCACAAGGGCCACAATAAGAAATATAAACCAAATTGTAAATTTTACTGTGGGTTGATTTCATCTATTCTCACAGGATATGGGTCCCCTATTATTTGTTCCACAGATATTTATAGTCTGAAGGATTGTTTAATATAAACAAAAGAATGACTGGTCCCATGGGATAGTGCACCTAATCAACTCATTCATAGCGAATATTTATCTTCTGGTCCTGATTATCTCCTGCTGCATGAGAAGCAATGGTATCTATGGTATGGGAATTCTGCAGTGTCCCATGCCTGACAGGGAAGATTATCTCTTTTTCTCCTTCTGGATGCAAGGTGGTGAAGTAATTATGCTTGTATCCCAGTATTTCATAGACCAATTAGGAATCAATAAGGGGCTTAGGAGATCCATATTCTCAGTGGAACATTTCTTGAAGTTTAAAGGAGATTTGCACAGAATAACTAAACCCACTGGCAAATAATTCAATATCCTCACGATGTTCCACTAACTGTGACATCATAGCCTTGCTACTTGATCAAAATAGTCATATGTGCTTGTTCTGTGTTCAAAATATATATCCTTGGCACCTCTACCCAAATGGATTTCTAGAGAACTCTAGCTAACATTTTGGTAACAGTTTCCTGGACATATGCACACAACAGTGATTTCAGGCCATTAACAATCTGGCACTTGTGTTAGAATTAAGATCATTATACATTTATTCTTTGGATACCAATTTTTTTTTTCTTTTAAATAATAGTAATGCTGCCTCCTTCAGAGTGTCTGATTAACAAAGTGTTGTCTATTTCTTTATTCTTTCAGTAGGCTGGCCAACTCATCCTTAATTCATTTCCATTCACATCAAATTAATTTTCAAATACGAATCATTTTCATTACTTGTCTTTCCTTGTTTAATAAGACTTAAAATCATTGAAAGCACAGACTGCACACTCACACTTCCATACACATACAATATTGCTTGTTTTCCAAAAAGGTTTGAAATTGGTCATTGATTCGCTAGTTATAAAAATATATCATATAAGCAGATGGTGAAATTTATTGAGTGAGACCCTTGTTTATGGAATTCCAAAATTCTGAAGTCTAAACATATGCATAAATATAAAAAGCCATGCTATGTTACAAAAGTGAGTTAATATTTTGGCTTGGTTTAATGTGACATCTATAAGAAATGTACACACAATGTGCTATGTATTAAATGGACAAGAATAAAAGTGGTGAATGTGTGGACTGTAGAAACTTATTGATTTAGCATGTGTAATAATAATTCAATTATCTGAGGGAGGGAGGGAGGGAGGAGGATGGGGGCGGGCTCCCAATCCGGTTCCATCTGGTTCTCCCACCGCGCCCTGCAACGGGTTCCAGCAGCTCAAGCGGCAGGAGGAGTGGCAGGAGTGGCAGCGGTCAAGCCAGCCCAGCTATTCGAGGGCTCTCTGCTCGCCTAGGCCTGCAGGCACCCCGCCACGACACCCTGCCACGCGTACTTCCCGCCTCCAAGATGCCCAAGAGGAAGATCAGCTCTGCCGAAGGGGCGGCCAAGGAAGAGCCCAAGAGGAGATCGGCCAGGTTGTCGGCTAAACCGGCTCCTGCAAAGGTGGGCGCGAAGCCCAAGAAGGCAGCTGGCAAGGAGAAATCATCGGACAAGAATTTGCAAGCCAAGGGCAAGAGAGGAGCAAAAGGCAAACAGGCCGAGGTGGCCAGCCAGGAAACTAAGGAAGATGTGCCCGCGCAAAACGGAGACACTGAAAATGAGGAGCGCCCCGCCTCTGACCAAGCCGAAGAGAAGGAAGCCAAGTCCGATTAACGCCACACATCACGTCTTATCAATGCTCCCTGTCTCCCTTCTTGTACAATCCAGGAGAATATTTTTATCCACTATATTGTAAATGAAAGATTTTAGTGGCTCTAGAAACATTTTTAAGAAGGCGGGGAGCCCACCTCATCCCATTTTTTTAAGTGCAAATGATTTTGTTTAAGAGGTGAAATCATTGCTGGTTGTTTATTTTTTGGTACAACCAGAAAATAGTGGGATATTGAATTAGGGGAGGCTCTGCCTGTCTGGGTGTCAGCTTCACATTCCATAGGTGGGTGTTTTTTATATCCTGCAACACACTGCATACCAAATGGCAATTCAGAGTCACAATTGTGCATTTTACCTGTCTTGGAAAGTTTCAGTTACTTCCCCCGTGTTGGTCAGTAGAGCTGTTTCCTACAATAAGCCACTCCTTCTGCTCTGTCAGAACCGTGCACACCCTGTAACACCTTTGAGTCTGGAAGTCCAGGGTTCCTAATCTTTAACGTGCTGTGAAAGACTGAAGACTTGTTTATGTTGTGTATGTGATGTTTAATCGTGAGTGGGTGAGATTCACGTGACAGCAATACTGCAGTCACTGGTACTTGGTAGCTTTTTCCAGAAGGGCTGCCTTCAAATCCAAGGATGGAAAGTCACTGGAGTAACTTCAAAAATGACAATCCATGGTTTGTTAGACTCTTGGTACATTTGTTAAGCATTGTATACCAATTGGAATGTCCATGTACTGATTCTCAACACCAATAAAATCTCAATTGTGAACCAATAAAGAAATTCAATTTTCTGTAGCAGTCAAATTCATATTTCAAAATTTAAAATGTTATCCCATTTGACGGTGTTTTAGGATAATTTTTGCTTTAGACACAAACTATAAAGGGAATGGAACTAAATTAGGGACATTGATATTGTACCAAATTCTTACCTGACGACCCCATATAGATTATGTTCTAGGACCCATGCTTCATCTCTTTTTATATAAAAATCTCCTTGTTATGTGTCATTGGAAAGTGGTTACTTTGTTTTCTAGCTTAATCACGGTTTAATTTCAATCTATGAATGCAATAATGATAGAGATTTTTTTTTTTCTTAAACCAATATAAGGTATCATTTTACAGAACTTGTTGAAGATTTCTTTTTCTACATTGACTCAAATGTCTTGGCTCATTTAGTATTTGTAAAAAAAAAGACCAGAAACACCCAAGACTAGAATATATGAAATGAATAGAAGTTTACTTATTACAGTTCTGGACATCATAAGGTCCAAGACAGAAATGTTAGCATAAATGTTAGCACTTGGCAAAATTGTTTTGCTGCCTCATGATAGCAAGTCATATGGAAGAAGGGAAAGGCAATGGTGAGAAAGAGACAGAAATGGGGATCAAAGTTACTCTTTTTAATGATCTACTCCATTATAATGGTATTAACTGATTCATAAAAATGGAGCCTTTATGGCCCAACTATCTCTAAAAAGTCCTAGCTCTTACTGCTATAATAGTGGCATTTAGATGCAAGCATGCATTTTTGAAGGGCAAACACTTATCTATTGCAAACTAGAATGAAACCTGAGACTCAAAAAATGAAATATTAAGCTTCAAAATGTACATTTATGACACTATAAATTCTATTAAAGAGATATTTCAAGAAAAAAGAAAAAGGAAAGAAGGAAAGTAGATTTTTGTCATATACTATTTAAAAGTTGCCAGGAAAATATGCACAAAATAATGACATAGCAATGAAAGCAGGTAAGGTTAAACTTGGATTCAGATATTAAAGGGGTTTGTTCTTGATTATTCTAAAACTAGAAAAATGATTAAACTCAAATCCTTTTTAAAATGCCATATGTAGTTATAAATATAAAAACTATCAACAATAAACCTCATTGAAAAAATAATATTGCTCCAGTTTTAAACAGCAGTTTATATTGTATTTTGTTTGAATACATTTTTAAATCATCACATTTGTGGTTCTCATACTTTCATAAAAGTTACGGTTATACGTAAAACAATGCAAAGTCTCTCAATATCCAAAACGCTCCCGATAAGGTATTTAGCATCTTCCCGATGTTATACACCTGCATATATTTTCTAAAATTTTTTGAAGACCCTCTACATGTGGATTTTAGCTTTAGCATTGCATCAAAATAAACTTTTAAAATCTATTTTCAGGCCCGGCGGTGTGGCCTAGCAGCTAACGTCCTCGCCTTGAACGTGCCAGGAGCCCATAAGGACACCAGTTCTAATCCCGGAAGCTCCACTTCCCATCCAGTTCCCTGCTTGTGGCCTGGGAAATCAGTCGAAGACAGCCCAAAGCTTTGGGACCCTGCACCCGTGTGGGATACCCGGAAGAAGTTCCTGGCTCCTGGCTTCAGATCGGCATAGCATCAGCCATTGTGCTCACTTGGGGAGTGAATCATCGGACGGAAGATCTTCCTCTCTGTCTCTCCTCCTCTCTGTATATCTGACTTTCCAATAAATAAATAAATATTAAAAAATAAAATCTATTTTCCATTACTTTTCAGAAGTCCCCTTATAAGTCTCAAATTAATTTGGTATAAAATTAAATTTTTGAAGTTTACTTTATAAAATCCATATAGTAACTACAAAAATATTTATACATTTATAAAGGGAAATAAGGAAATAAAAATCACTGTTCAAAATCAAGTAGATACAAAAGAAGGAATAAAGGGAACAAATGTATTCATATCTTTAAAATATGTAGATAACTAATATAACAAAGTGGCAACAACAAGCCATCTCATATCAACAATTAGCTTAAAATAAATGTGATAAACTCATTAATCATAAAAGTATCAACTCTATACTTATCACTACACTTTAGATATAAGGAATAAAATCAATCAAAATTCAAATGGTACAAAATTATTTTATGCAAACAGCAAAAAGAAAGCTTTAGTAGTTATATTGACAATCACACAAAATACGGTTCAAGTAACTATAGCAATTAAATGAGAATGATAATAAAATTCTTAAAAAAAAAAAAGCCACCTTGACAAGAAAGCATGATTGAGGTACATGTGCAGACTGCAGAACTCCAAAATAAAGAAAGAAATCACTGAAAAAAATGAAAGGAAATGTAGTCAACTTAATACTAGCGTTGGTGTTGTGGAGTAGTTGATTAAGTTGCCACCCAAGACATCAGCATATCATATGAGCCCCAGTTTAGTCTCAGACATTCCACATCCAATCCAGTTCCCTGGCAAATGCACCTGGCAGGCAAAAGAAGATGATTCAATTCTTAGAATCTTGCCACTGATCTGGGAGATCAGGATGGAGTCTCTGGCTCCTGGATTTCACCTGGCCCAGCCTTAGTGACTGTGCCCATTTAGGAAGTGAGCCCACAGATGAAAAAAAAAAAAAAAAGAAAAGAAAACCAATCACTCTCACTGTCTTGTTCTTTATTATTATTATTTTTTTTTAATTTCTGATGATGTTTACATAGTTGATTAGTGTGAGAAGGACTGAGGCTTGGGGAAAAAGTGGGTGTAATCACTGTTTTCAAATTTTCTATTTCTTCTTTCCATTTATCAGAGGAGAGGGGAGATAAGCGGAAAAGCCATCCCCAGCCTCCCAATCACCCCAGTATACAGGGATGGGAAATGGTCAGATATCAACCCAGGGGACCCAATATAGTGCATGTTCTAACGGTTCTGCCCAACTAATTTTGAAAATTTTGAAATGCTGTTGATTTTGCCAATCCAAGGATGAAGCATCCCTTCCAATGTCTTTTTCTGACATAGTTGAACTTTGAGTCTCTATTGGCCCAGATGTTTGCTCTCACCACTAGGCTAGGGTAGTTGTCCAATTTATTGTTTGCTCTGTTGTGATAACATATGTCTTCTGCTGGCCTTAATGGGCTGCAATATCTTCTATGTGCATTTTGGCCAGCTGTCCATTGCTCCTTCTTTTGCACTGAGGAAGCCCAGTTCTGACACATGCACTCCACAATCAGATCACAAATCCTGGACATGAGACCCCAGGCCCCTCATGCCCCCACCTATGCCTAACTCAGATGCCAGCAAGCCCACACACCAAGTTCCCATAAGCATGCCACCAGGCAGCCAAGTGCGCTTACTCTGGCACCACTGGTACCCTGGACTGCCCAACCGAAACCCCACCCGACTCCCTGCACCCAGGGCTCACACATCCGGCACCTATCATGCAGGTGGGCCTGGGTACTTGGGACTGGTAACCTGGGAACCGCCGGTCACCCCCTTCTACTCCCACCCCCAGGGACTAATCACTCTACAGCAGCCTAAGGACCCCGTTCCTCTGGGGCTCCTGGATCAGACACCCAACATGCTCAGATTGGCATGGCTCATCTCACTAGGCATTTACCAGTGGGTGCTGCAGCCTGGCTCTTTCCAGCCTGCCCCTAGTTCAAGCTCCTGCTAATGGGTGCTGCAGGTTAGCATTGCCCAGCCAGTCCCCAGTCTCAGCCTTAATGTGGACTGGTTGATATTGCGGCCTGACCCAGCCCATCCTGCACCCCGTCCTGGTTCTCAGATCTGCCAGTGGATGTTATGAATGGACCCAGCCAGGCCCATCCCCAGACCTGAGCCACATGTATGATGGTGGATACTGTAACCTGGCTTGTTCTGGGTTGCTCCTTGTTTTGTTCTTTTTTTTTTTAAAGATTTATTTTTAGGGCCCGGCGCGATGGCGCAAGTGGTTAAGGTCCTCGCCTAGCACGCCCGGGATCCCATATGGGCGCCGGTTCTAATCCCGGCAGCCCCGCTTCCCTTCCAGCTCCCTGCCTGTGGCCCGGGAGAGCAGTCGAGGACGGCCCAAAGCTTTGGGACCCTGCACCCGCTTAACCTAATAGAATGCCAACACAACAATAGCAAAGTATTTTTTTTTTCTTCAAATGTATTCACCAAGATAGACCATATATTATCATCAAGGAAGTCTTAATAAATTTTATAAGATTAAAAACCATACAAAGTCTCTTTTCTACGCAGAGTGAACCAAAACTAG